TCGCGCGATCACGGGTTACTTGTAGGGTGTTATATAAAAGTCACCCAGATCTCAACTAAATCGCCTTGTCCACTGTGTGGATGCTTGATACGCGAGCCTTCTGACAACTTGAGCCGTCTCGCGATCTTGCCTCTTGTCATTTTCGTTCTTGCTGCGTCCGATCGCAGTTGAAGGGGGGAATTCTTGATCCCTAGCCAATGACATGGGGACATCACTTGGTCTTAGAATACGTGCCTTTCTTTACGTCGGGAGGCCGATATTCCATCCCGGAAGAGAAGTCGACGCGTGTAATTAGAAGAAAATAGAATTATGCTCAATGTCGACCAACCAAAAACCAAGACTGTGACTATGCCTGTCTATATGCTAGGATGTTCTGCCACGTGTCCTCTATTTTTCGGTGATTGATCTTCGCATGTGTGGTCCGCTTCAGACAGATCGACGATATATTCGGCCGCCATTCTCCCCGGATGCGATCTCTTTGATCAATCGACGATCTCCTCGGCCGATTGGCCGATCACTGATCGTCGATCTCCTTGGCCGATCGCTGATTATCGATCTCCTTGGCCGATCACTGATCGTCTATCTCCTTGGTCGATCCCTGATCTGTCCAATCGCTGATCTGTCCGATCGTTGATCTCCTCGGTAGTCGATCTCCTCATTCAATTTGTCTTCTTGATCGATCTCGATCTATTCGACCGGTTGCCGACCGCCTTCCACGATCTTGATCTCTGCCGATCTGTAAGCCATATCCCTACATTGAACACCTTATACTTCCTCAATCTCGGTACCTTGGCTTGATCTTGGTAACTTGACATTCGATCCCATTGTCGTGATAATTAGTTGCGGTATTGCGCTTTTCGCTCTCGGTATCGTGATATTCTATCTCGATACTGTGATTTTCAATCTTAGTATTGCGCCTCTTATCAGCCAGTCAATCTCTCTCAACGATTTGTCGCCGTTGTAGATCACTCCCTTTATTGATCGCTCTTTCTTCCAAAATTGCTCCATTACAGTATCACGCAGAATCGTTGTAACGCTGGTCCACAAATTGTAGCGAATCTACCACAGCTCTACAGTCAGATGAAGACTTATGGGTTAAGCCAGAGGCTTACGGCTAACAGCCAATTAGTTCTAAGGAACTAATATATCAAGTTAAAGAGTCGGCTAGTTTTACGGAACTTAGCGCGGACTCTATGTGCTACTAGCTCAGACTACTGTAGATTTAAGGAATCACACGCACAATGTGCAAAGGAAAATACTGGAGTCTAATGACTTTCTAACCCATGAAAGTTTTACGAAACTGTCAAGACCAACGTGCGGAAGGGGCGTGTGGAATTCTACGGACTTTCGCTTAAAATGAGAACTGAATTTATTTAGATTTTGTGTCAAGGAAAATCCTTCTTTAAGTACCCTATATTCAGCTAAACTGGAACTTATACAAATGCCAGTATTCGAACTAAATGGATGGTTGGCAGATCACTCAGTCATCAAATGATGCCGGTACAACAAACTTCCACGGTAATTACCGTAACTCAAAGAATACCGACTAATCATTCCACTATTGATAAATAATCTACGGCCACACTAGTCTCCCAAATCACATATGGGAGGTCTTCAACCAATTTAGCCAATGGCTGGTGTGACCCCGTTACACAAATTGTCCGATCGGAATAAAGAAGTCTCAAACGTCGTATAGTTGGCGCTCCAAGCGATCGTCACGAAGTCCTTGGGCTCGTAATTGGTCGCGAATTGCGCTGTAAATGTCCAACACTTCTTGATGGGCCTCAGCACAATCGTATAGATCATCCGTGTACGACCGTAAGGTGTGTCCATCGACCGCAGGAAGGAAGTTCGTCCGGCCGTTCGGAAATATGCAGAAGAACGAAGTGAATTTTCAGCAGACGGTGGAGAATTTGTTGTGTTATACGAGCCCGGGCGGGAGATCGACGATCATCGGGGCCCTCCATGTAGTCTATACAGATAAACTAAAAGCTTTAGAAGTGGAGAAGACGGATGACGAAGTGCACTGTCAAATCGGCACTATTTGCCGAATATAAGCGCGAGGCTGTGACGATGCAATATAAGAAAATTTGAAGTGATTGATGGGTTGATTGATCGAAAATATCGACTTTCGATATTTTCAAAAGGACTGATCATCTGTTGAGCTGTGGAATATTGAGATCGAATATCAAGACACCAAGATCAATTATCAAGACAACAGGATCGAGTATCAATATACCGGGTTTAATAATTCATAGGGTGATCAAGGTTGAGAATATGATTGGAAATAGAGATTGATTGACGAGAGATCAGGATGATCATCGATCACGGTGATCGATCATCAAGGGAATTAACTACCAGGAATATCATCGATCAGTCAAGGTGATCGATGATCAGGGAGATCGACGATCGACCGGGAGTGGACCACGTGCGCGAAGGAAAATCGACGGAATGCGGATGACACTTGTAGCATACCCTGGTATACAGGAAGACACAGTGGTAATTTATCTTTTGGTCGGTCGACAGAACTCCATTTGATTTTAAGTAAACGTGTTGACTTCTCTTCCGAAATGGAATATTGGCCTTCTGACGCCAAGAGAGTCGCGCAAACTGTAATCAAGCGATGTTTTCAGATGATTGGCTGGTTATCAAGATTCTCTCCCCCCCCTAACTGCGATCGGACGCAGCAGGAACGTAAAGTATAATGTTTATGATCTCTAGACGGTTCAAGTGTTCAGAAGGCTTGCGTATCAAGCATACACGTACTGGTCTAGGCGATCTCGTTAATATCTGGGTGGCTTTTACATCAAGTAACCTACCATTGTACCCATGATCGTGTGAAGATTTCTGCACCAGTGCAAATCCCATCCTCAACACGGTCAAGACTTCCTTCGACGCGAGTCCACAAAGAATAAAGCAGCCCGCTTTACGGGTAAACAAGGTGAGGAAGGAAATACGATGCACGAAACGGAGTATCTCGTCCGTTAGTCGGTCGTCTGGGTGCCACTGGAGAGTTTAAATCGCCTCACAAAATGAACGATCGCGCCTCACTATACTACGATTCAAAAGATTTAAGCTTATAGCATATCCTTGCCCCACTCTATGCAAAAATGTTATGCAAAGAAGGCAAAAGTAACCTGATTTGCATATATTTAATTCAAAAGCGTCAGTCCTGCACATTTTTACGTCCCCGTATAGCAGATTTATCCAATTGCACCTGGACGGCCTTCGTATCGATATCTTCATGCGTTGTGCACTGCTCCACCGGTAGCATGGTATTTAGATAATTTAAGTCGGCAACCATTACTGCCTTTGTGTACACCGATAACTTGCACTTTCGTCGTTTCCGTGCATTATGATCCCTACCCGATGACCGAAGCACCCGCAGCCTTTGAAGTTCTACGGTCTTGCAAGGTCATAGACCGTTCGTTATATTGCCTGTATCTAGAAACCCCGTATTTATCTCGGTCCTTCAAAGAGAAACGCGCATACCACAGTGATATTTCCTGCATAGGATGCAAACGGCGAAGCCTTGGCTAACGTTACTTTTTCTTGGCGGTGTCAACGGCTTCCTTCTGACTACCGAATGTCGGTGCTGGTAGAGCTTCATTGCAGCTCCATGGATGAACAGCAAAATTAGCATCTTTAACAATAGTAGAGGATGCTATGCCAGAGGAGGAAGGTAAAACGTCTCAACGTCATAGTAAGAATGATGAGTGGTTATAAAACAGGGAACGGTCTAATGCTACGGCTCGTCGATTTACCGCTGTTGGCAATGCAATAATTAGGCCTAATGGATAGCCGGCACATTTTACAATGGGAAAAGCAAAAAAAGCTGGAAATATTTAAATTATTCAGGCAAAAATGTGAGTGTATTTAAAGCATGTCCATATGTAACTATCACAAAGGGAGGGGACATGCTAGATCGTACACAAAAAGGTGTGTACGGTGCACCTGGCGTTTTTAAACCACACACAAGAAAAAGGAAATGAACGAATGCGCTATCATTTTGCGCGCAAATACTACGAGATTCACCCGTCAGACTCGCAGTTAGTCAGCGATGCTGCCAACAGCCAAATTGCGATCAAGTATCGACATAGGTAACAAACGGAGCCTTAGAAGGATGCAATGTAAAGACTGTGAGCGATCCAACCGATTTGGGTATAGATTATACCTTTCTCTCATGCTTTATTCTTACAGAAGCCGCATGATGTAGTTCCGGATCCTCTAATTAATCTAATTGCAATCTCGAAGGGTGAAGCTATCAGTGATAGTGTGCAAGGTGAATGCCGAACTTTCCAAAATCGTACTTATCTGTCCGTCTGTTTGCAAATAAAGCGGCTATGTGAACCTTACTTGTACTGAGTACGATCTAGCCTGTCCTTTCCTTATAGGTATTAGGCAAATCTAAGTCACTTTTTGGCTAGGTCAATATTGTCACACATGCATGTAATTGGCTGCAAATCAATCAAAGGTGAAAATGATCGCATGCGCAGATACTGAACGCTTATTAGTAAAGGCTGGTCACGTTTCCCTAGCTGTACTGTACTGGGTTAATACAGACATTTATTGCTTCGTTCTGATTCGTCAGTGACTGCTGCTGCATAGCGTTTTGCGACTTAATTTTCAGTCCTCCGAACTGGATTACTTATATCACAGGGCGATCTCCAGAGCTTGATCTCCCATCATTTTCACGATGTGGCTCGCTACTAATAGATAACGTCTGGCTCCGTTTGGGCCATGTTTTGGCTTTCATCCGATTTTCGGCAATTTGGCACCACCGAAAATGGTGTACAGCAGGTACGAGTAAAGTTTATTATTAAACAAATGTTTTTACGCAATCGGTACGATGGTCGTTTATGTCAAAATAACAAGAAGCAGAAAGTAGAAGATGATATCAATTTAGGCTTCACATGTATCTGTAAGCTTAGACGCCTAAAGGCACGTAAGCAGCAAAATAATAATATATTAGTTAGCGCTTGAGTTTAAATTGATTTAAACTATGTATGCAAACCGTAATAGATTTTATAATTCACAACAAAGTTATCAACGTCAATACCATCTTCAGAGCGAATGCGGTTTTTTACCAACCCTAACCCGTATTCCACATGCAGTGGAATTATTTGTTTTTGAAACAGGTAGACGCACGACATTTCAGTATTTCGCATACTTACAGCATGCATGATCTCACGAAAACGCTTTTTATTAAATCCACTGGGTTGTTGCGACGATCCAACCGGTTTTCCAAGCAATCTTTTTGCCCACTTGATCATCCTTCCTGTCGATTCTGGCGGAAGAATGTACTTCTCCCAAGGAATGCGTTCAGGCAGAAGCAAAGTATTTTCAGCCGTTCCACGTCCAGGAAATGCCCTTTCTTCACCGGCGTTTTCGAGAGGAGCGCTGATCATCATTCGGTCCTTCGGTTCAATCCGTACAGCTGGGTGCGGACTCACTGACATCGCCTCGGGGTGCTCTTCGGCTACTGGAGCTACAAGAGCGGCACTTCCACCAGTCATGGCGCAAACGAGCACAAGGAAGCGCTTCGTCATTAGGGAGGACGGGTAGGTGCGGGCAGCGACGACGAGTGACAGACGATGTAATTTATAGAGGTGGGGCCCGCAACGCGAGTTTGAGAGTGTGAAAGTTGGACAGGGCCTGAATCAAGTCGACGTTAGTAACGTAAAAGCGCTTTCTTGGACATGGACAAAGCTTTGTACTTGTGCAGTGCTTGCTGCCGGGAGGGCCTGACTCTCTTTATCTGGTTCTGGTCTGCTTGCACTTCATGCATGAATATACTGGCGATACGATACATGATTGGGCGCAGACCAGATTGCGTGTCGCTATCTCGTTCACAGCTAGTCCTGTCCCTATCTCAGCCAATATTAGCGATTACACTCACATTATTGTCGGTTTGTAGGATCTATCAAATCGTAGACGAAGCATTTATTTGTAGGAGCTTTGGTTATTTTTGATGATCTCGTTAGGGCCACGAATTGTGACACAGTCCTTCAGATTCTTGTCAAAGTTCGATGACAGGTGACCAGTTTATGCAATCATTTGATGTGTCCATTTTAGAAATAGCGAGATGTGGATACGCTAATCCTACCTGATCATTTCCGTTTACCCATATAAAAAGAAGCGTAAATTTAGCTCAAGATGCTCATCAGATATTTATCTAGATTTCAATTTAACGTCTACTTTTGGCAGCAAGAACGATTGGATTGCGTTGTCGTTATCGTAAAACAAGCATCGATGCCGATTTTCTTTTCATGAAAAGTCTCCACGAACGCATCGATTGGTGTTACATCGAATCGTATTTCATTTGGTGGCTAGAGTCATACAATCTTTGTTTGTTGTTTTCAATTGTAATATCTATGGACCGTAGCTAGGTCTTTATAATGTGGACTTACACTCCAGAATTATGTAAATCTTATATCACGGTCTCTAGGTCCGTCGAAAGGCGCATATGACAGTGTGGCCTGCTAAATGCAACGAATGATCGTGGTTTTGGTGTTGCTGTAACGACTATAAAACTCCATTGACCATCCATATGCAGCGTGGTTGAAAATGTGTGGAGACAACTGCAAACCAACGAATCAGCAAAATACGGACTTTACCTTGACCTTCCGCGGCACAGTTTGAGGACGTCAAATCAATTGATTCCTAATTTTTCTTGACATGTTCCTTCCTCTAAATCGAAAGTGCTTCCTTCAGTTCCTTTGCGATCGCATTGAAGATACACTTTTGCCTACCACCTGTCATTCGTACGAGCTCTTTGTAACGATTCCATATCGCTTTGCAGCAGCAAAAAAGCCGGAAAATATTTGACCTATCCTTTAAGGGGTGCAATTTTCTACCAAGCAAGGTGAACAAGGGGTTGGAGAGACGTATCGTGAGCTTTTGAAGTGCAAAGACTATCGACGCCTTTGCCAAAACTATGTTTTTGAAGAGGTTTATGATAATGCTGCAAATAGTAGATTTTGTTTTAAAATTTGGATACTTTAAATATAGTAGCACCTAGATTTTTACTAGGATTTAGATACTTGGATGAATAGGATGGATTAGGTAGGATTTGTATTTGGCCCATATCTCTATTTCTAAAATGGACACATCAAATAATTGAAACATTTGGGACCTCCCGATATTTTGGGACCTCCCGATAAATTGTTTAAGGCATCAGAAGGACTGTGTTACGATTCGTGTCCATAGACAAAACATAAAGAGCAACACCACAGAATGGCTAATACTGCACATTTGTGTATACAAATCTTTACGAATGTACCCAGCTCACAGATCAAGATGAGAGGAGCAATTTATGAATGTAAATGACAAACTTTTTACTTGCAAGACCCAACAGCAGCTTGCGGTATGTATATTTCGGCTCCTTTACTCGGTGACGGTCATGTCAGCACCACAGGCGGTCGTTGCTGGGGGTCCATCTTCAAAAGTCCAGTATGTACAACTGATGAAGCATCCTTAGTGCAGTGCACGTATTTGTAGCCAGATCCCGACCAGAAGATCTCGTCTGATCGGCATCTTGTTGAGGAGGCCTAGGGGTATGAAAAACAGGGGTATGAAAAACCGGACTTTTGACTTCCCAGTGAAGTAGGGCAAACATACACACCGTTCACCACGTTTGATTCTGATATCGATGCCGCCAGGAAAATGAGTGAGAGACCAGGACAACGACTGATTGTGTAAGACTATGCGATATCGATGTGCACCTACCTGGACTATATCGTTCTCCCCCTCGCTCGCTGAGTATACTAGCTTGAGAATTCGAGTGCAGCGGGGGACACTACGCAGAAAGGACATAGTAGCGGGTATCCCGACCGGGTTGCAGATAGGGCGCTGAGATCGCAAAAAAAACGCCAGTTTTCAAATCGATCGTTCCGGAAAGGGCCGCCGACGCAGCTGGACGGGCCCGCTCGAATCATGTTCTAGGCAGATTGCTTCGTAAGAGCGAGAACCATAGTTGGCGACCGTGCCGGCGGCTCGAAAGTAGTATTGCAGAAACTAGGAGGGGGTTATAACCGCTGGTGCCATGCCCCACACCCCAGGGTGTCTTGGATTTGCTTGCCTTTTGAAGTTGCACGCTGTGTTGCCTCCCTAGCGCACCCAGAGGGACGAAATCACCCCTCTATGACCTGGAGGGAGTTCTCGCCCAGAGCAAGGGACTTCGGCTCTGTGGAGGTCGTCGTCGCTTTGCCGAGGCTGCCTGAAGGCACAAATTGGTAAGTTGCCAATGGGAATATACGACAATATCAGCTGTATTTTGTCATCTGTTTAAATCGTGTCAGGTGAGCTTGCACGATGTCGCAAGAACGCTTCATGGGTACGGAAGAAGCTGAACGGAGTAGTAGGGATGACGCAAGCTCGCACACAATTCGACTTTTTATGCATTCGTCATCCTAAGTACCGAAGATAAGGTACTCGTTTGTGGTTCACTAGTATGAACGGATCTGCAAGCTATTTGGCCGCATTATCCTTTTAAACCGTCTCTGCTTTGACCTCACTGATTGTAGTTTGTGTATATAAAGTGATTGTTGCAGTGTTACGTTCTGTTATACTCGGTGTGATGGTGGCTTTCGCTATCAAGTATTATGCGCACGACGAAGTTGTCAGAACAACGAACATTGAAAATGCTGCATTCTAATCCAGTAGCTCTCGATTGCTCAGTCACTCTAAATTTGACACTATAAATAGATCAGCCATTTACAAATGATGCGCTCAATGATGAGTATAAACCTAAATTAACAACTATAAAATCGTCATTTCCTCGCGTTCGCGGACATGTTGCATAAAGACAAACCTTTTTAGGATGTTTGTGCACCCTTCGAATCTGATTCACCACAGTAAATGGATGTTTGTCGTGCCTCTTTTAACATGGCTCTTACTCTTATTCAATGCTTCCTCCGACAAGTTCATCGAAAAGTAATTATCATGCTCGACATAATAAGCAGGGGTGTCCGTGTAGTGGCTGCATACGGGACATAAGGTGCGATACGTTTGCAACACTCTATCAGTGCATTAAGCTTAACAATCTTTTGAAATGCGCTATAGTATCGCCTCTTTTTAAAACTGGGATACTATAAATGGATGTATCGGAATTTACAGACTCCATGGTTGGCTTTCATGCAAACATAGGTTATTAGAAGGTTAAGTTGATGCATGCTCGACATTAATAACAAGTAGGTCCAACACTTACCCTGTAACGGGGTGAATCGTTACATAACAATTTATAAGAAATTGTTAATAGAATATAACTATAAGAGTTATATTCTCAGAATATTGTCATAAGGACAATATTCTGTAGCACTTCCAAGTAGTTCCTAATTGGTTGATATAGGCCATTATATCAACCAACGAAGACGCGCCACGACAGACGCACGCAATGAGTGGTGAGCAGATAACTGATTTACACATTTGTATTTAGACATAGTTAGATGAAGATAAATAGTGATTTATTGCAGACATTAACTATTATAAATACAGTTCTACTTTTACTCTAACCAAGTACTCGCTTCTTCTTACCGTCTTCCTCTGCACGTACGAGTGTACGTGAAGTTACGAGGCACCGCCTTATTCTGTTATCAGAATAAGTAGCTTGTACTGTCACCAGTACAAGCTTCAGGGTGCCCCGTTACACCTGGTAGCACTTCGTAGTCCGTCCAAGGACCGCGTTCACATCCAACATGAATATGTTGGATGATGAAGATGACCAAAGCTTTCACGCTACGCGTGACGGCTACTCCCATTTGAGCGATGTCGAATGGGATGCGGTTGAACGAATGGGTTCGACCATGGGCATCCATGCTGTTAGCGTCATGCTAGAGGCTCTCAATAGAGATGCCCAACATGCTACTATCGCCAAGTTCATTCAAAATGAACTTGACGCAGAACGCGAGAAAGTAGCCTTGCTTCACCAACAAGGTTCTCAACAAGCAGAGTTGTTGAGAGAACAAGGTGCTCAACAGTTTGAACTGTTGAGACAGCAGCAGGCTGCTGCTGGCGGGTCGATGCACTCGCGTCGGCCCGAGACTTTGAAGATTGACATCTCAAAGTATAGGGGGTCGAAGAAGACTCCCTCTTGAGATGGTTCGTCGAATTGGATGACGCCATAAGGGCGCGTCGCATCGACGACGGGGATATGCAAGTTGCATTTGCCCAGTCAAATCTGGCAGGACGTGCCAAGACTTGGGCACTGGGGCTCAAGCTGCACGACCCATATGCGTTTGGGTCGTTGGAAGTCTTCAAGTCGCGGCTCAGACAAACGTTTGAACCGCCTAGAGCTGAGTTCAGAGCTCGAACCGAACTCTTGAAGCTCAAGCAGGGTAAGCGTGATGTGCACGCTTACGCTCAACATATACGACATCTCACGAGTTGTATAAGTTCCAATCCGGTGGATGAACACACGTTGGTTTCGGTGTTCATGCAGGGTCTTGCGGATGGTCCCGTCAAGACTCACCTGTTCCGGCTTGAACTAGATTCACTAGAACAAGCCATTTCAATTGCGGAGCAGGAAGACTTCAGTCTGAGACAGGCTCGC